CATCCTGGTGGTGCTTGGGGACCATATACATCGGGTGCTGGGGATCGAACTCTGGTCGACCACATGCAAGGCAAGCAGCTTCACCGCTGGGCTGTCGCTTCAGCCCCAGAGTCACTCTTACTTGGATCTTGGCAGTTTCAGAACTAGGTTCAGGTTCTGTGTTTGAATTCATTCCTGGACTGAAATAAACCGTCCAGCTGCTGCCCAGTTGTCATCAGCAGAGATGCCTGAAGGGTTGGAGGGGTGGTGTGGGGTGCCCAGCTCGGAGCCACGCCAACTTCCACGCTGGGTCAGTGTCCTGTGGCAGGTGGCAGAGAGTGAGCAGTGTGTGGTGACTCGTGGTATCCTGCAGACGTGGAGCGGATCTGTCTGGCAGCGTGAGAAGCGTTCTGTCTCTTGGGACCTTGCTTTCAGTTTCCCTTTGAGACCGGTCAGTGTTTTCATTTGAATTATCAATGTTTTTCTCCGTTCCTAATCCGTACCTAGGGATTTATAGGATAAAGCAAGACCGTTGGCCATCTCGATTCGCTCTCTGCAGAACTTGAGCGATCTGTGTTAGAGGTGAGTCGCAGCATATGGAGAGAAGATGACTCACCGCGCTGGATTTGTAGTTATTTTAATGCCGAGGACTGCTGGCCTCCTCCCCCCACTTCTGGCTCGAACCCTTGCTCATGCCAGAGGAGTGCTCCGACACTTAATCTCTACCCCTGGCCTCCGCTTAGGACTTTCCTAATGATAGTTTGAGTTACATTAATGGATACAAGGTAGCATTTCAGCCAAAAACTTAACTCCTGGTCATACTATCATTTTAAGAAGTTAGTTGCTGGGGCAGGAACAGTAGTACAGCAGGTGGGGCGTTTGCCTTACACACGGCTAACCTGGGTTCGATTCCCAGCATCCCGTATGGTCCCTCGAGGGCACCAGGAGTGATTCCCGAGTGCCGAGCCAATGAGCTTCGCTGGGTGTGACCCAAAAAGCAAAAATTAAAAAAAAAATTTTAAAAAGTTAATTTTAGCACAAGGGCTGGAGCGATAGCACAGCGGTAGGGCGTTTGCCTTGCACGCAGCCAACATGGCCTACCCGAGTTCGATTCCTCCGCCCTTCTCGGAGAGCCCGGCAAGCTACCGAGAGTATCTCGCCCGCACGGCAGAGCCTGGCAAGCTCCCCGTGACATATTCGATATGCCAAACACAGTAACAACAAGTCTCACGATGGAGACGTTACTGGGCCCGCTCGAGCAAATCGATGATCAACAGGAGGGCCTTTACTTGCTTACTTTTTAAAAAGTTAATTGCTGTGATATAAATAGATATCTCTATATATACTTTTTTGAACTCTAAAAGGTTTGGGAATGTTCTTTGGGGAGATTATTATTAAAGACACCCAATTTGGGTTCTCATGAAGTCACTCTGTCCCTTTCAGAGGTCAGAGTTCAAGTCGGGTGAGCCCAGGCAGAGAGGAGGCTGGGGGCTGTAGCCAGTCGTCACTTGGCACTTGGTTTCTTGGTTTGGGTCCGTGGGTTCAGCCTAGCACCTTACCCAGGTGCGGCTCACACTGAGTCGCGTCTCTCTTCAAGACAAGCGCCCCCTCCCCCCCCTCCCCCCTCCCCATTCCCCCCTGGGTCTACAAACTGTTCCTGATGCTTTGCACCTCACCGGCATTCAGTATCCCAGCGCCAAACCCACACCACCTCACCTTCCCTCCACCATGGTCCTCGTTTCCCCAACCATCCTGCAAGCTGGCCCCAGAGCAGGCCCCCAAGAATTCATTTTATATTGTCTGTTACCACAGAATGATCTAAGACAAAATACTTGACCAAGAAAAAAGCACTTCGATAAAAGAAAATTTGTAAAAAAAAAAAAAATCACTGTGTCTCACCATGGGGAGAGTGGGTCCTCGTCTGAGGGTCCGCTGAGCGGCTGCTGCCAGTCCCGCCTCCTGCGTCAGGGCTCTGCGTTGCCGAGTGTAGCTGGCTTCTGCGTCACATGCCGTCTGCCCTGCTGTGCTCCTGCTGGGAGCACTTGCAGAGTTTGGACACATCCTGTGGCCACAGGTGTGGCTAGGTGCCCCGGAGTCCCAGAATGTTTATGGGGTAGCGAGCTTGGCCCTTGCGGGTGTGGCTCTCGGGCCTTCCAGAAGCCCAGGGAGGCAGGGGAGGGACCCAGCCCAACCCCCTTGGGGATGGGTTTCAGCCCCCCCCAAAGCCAGCACGCCGAGATTGACGGCAGTCTGGCCTCTCTGTTGGCCTTGGGTGTGGGCCCCTCGAGTCCAGCTGTGGGCATGGTGGCAGCTGTCAGGATGCCCCTCGCCGCATTCTTGGGCTTCTCTGAACCTCGTTCCCCACAGCTGTAAGTACGGGAACAGCACCCCGGGGGCTTGTGTGAGGGGGGTATGCACACATAGGAAGTCTCCAGCTCGAGTCAGAGCAATCTTGTAGCTTTTTTTTTTTTTTGCCACACAGTTTATTTATTTTTTTTGCTTTTTGGGTCACACGCAGCAATGCTCAGAGGGTTACTCCTGGCTTTGCACTCAGGAATTACTCCTGGCACTGCTCAGGGGACCACCTGGGATGCTGGGGCTCAAACCTGGGTCAGCCACATGCAAGGCAAAACGCCCTACCTGCTGTGCTATCGCTCCGGCCCCACCACACAGTTTATTAACTCATTTTATCGTTTTAACTAGAGCAATAGCACAGCGGTAGGGCGTTTGCCTTGCACGCAGCCAGCACAGCCGAGCCGGGTTCGATTCCTCCGCCCCTCTCGGAGAGCCCGGCAAGCTACCGAGAGTATCTCGCCCGCACGGCAGAGCCCGGCAAGCTCCTGTGACGTATTCGATATGCCAGACACAGTAACAACAAAGTCTCCAATGGAGATGTTACTGGACCCGCTCGAGCAAATCGATGAACAACGGGAGGACAGTGACAGTGACAATGACAATGATCGTTTTAACAGTTCTGTCAAGTCATTTTCCTCAGTTTTGGAGATCAGGAACTGAAGCTAATGAGGGAAGGTAGAACTCAGCCGTCAGACAGCTAGTAGCACGAGAGTGAGCTCCCGAATGTGGGACATTGCCCTGTAGACGTAGGCCCTGAGGTGTGGGCGGTGCCCTGAACATCCCATGCGGGAAGGGACAGGCTGCATCGCCGGCAGTGCCCCGGCACGGCTTCCCTGGGAAGCTAGTGGCCAACAGAAGCAGGGTGTCCCCTGGTCCCAGAGCTGTCGCCCATCTACCCCATGTCCCCCTCCATGGCTGCTCTAATAGTGACCTTTTGTTCTTTGAGCTGGCTCGTGACACAGTGACGTGACTTGAAGGAGGGGCCTGGGGGTCGGGTTGGATGAGAGGCCAGCAGCTCTTTATCACGGGCTCCTGCGGCTGACCCGTCACCTGGACAAGCCACAGCCTGTCTCTGCTTTGCGACTGACCCCACCGATCTGCAGCAGACTCTGCTCTCACCGAGATAGTGCATTTCCTTTGAGGGGGGAGGGGAGCTCTGAGAGGAAATACTGAGGAAAACCTAAATGTTCTGTACAGTGAAAGACATTTTAAAGAAACGTTTATCTTTCACATACAGTTAATTAAAAATTGAATTAAGTTTCCATGTTAAAGTATTTCCCTGTGACTGTGATTTAAGTATTTGGGATATATGGTGTTGAGATTTCGTAGCTTCTAATTTAAATGTCATAGGTAATTTTGTAGCTTTCAAGTTCAATGTCAGGTAAAGGTACTCCCGCCATTTGGAAGGGTTTTGTTTTCCTTTTTAGGGAAGGTACCCCTTTAAAATCAGAGAATTAGGGGGCAACGAGATAGTATGCTGAACGGGGCACCTGCCTGGTGAGTAACTGACCGGGGTTCGATCCCTGGGACTTCTATGGTCCCTGGAGCTGCCAAGAGCGATCAGAGATGGTGCAGGGCTCACAGCAGGGGCTCTGCATTTATTCAAATGAGCTGCCTTGGAGGGAAGATCAGAATAATCTTCTCCTCCCGGACCACATCAAAGAACAAAAGCACCAGAAGGAAGACAGGCTTCCGGGCTCAGCCCGCGGCAAGCAGGGTGCCAGGAGCAGGCTGGCGAAGGCGTGTCGGAACGGGAGGGTCTGTGGACAGACACTGCACGTAGCACATCCGCGCTCCAGTTCCCATGATCCTTACGCGTGTGAGTGCAGCTCACTGAGGTACAGGAACAAAATGAGCCTCACGGCAGAGGCAAAGACCTCGCTCCGTAATGCCTACTGTATTCGTTCTTGAACTCCCCTCAGCTTGGTTTCACGTCGTCAAGCTCACATGCCTTCGGTTTCTTTTTATTGTAACATCCTGATTGATGAAGCTCTTTCAGACACTCACGGCTCCAAACCGGTCTCACCACCACCGAGGTCCTCAGTTTCCCTCCCACCACCCGCGCCGGCTCCTCTGCAGGGACTAGCACATCCACTTCATGTTGCTTGCTGGAACACAAAGGCAGAATTCCTTGTTCGTCTGCAGTTCGTGTTGCAGGTGTAATACCATATTACAGGTGTAATACCATGTTGCAGGTGTATAGCTATCACTGTCCTCCCGTTCTTCATGGATTTGCTCGAGCGGGCCCAGTAACGTCTCCATTGTGAGACTTGTTGTGACTGTGTCTGGCATATCGAATACGTCACGGGGAGCTTACCAGGCTCTGCCGTGCGGGCGAGATACTCCCGGTAGCTTGCCGGGCTCTCCGAGAGGGGCGGAGGAATCGAACTTGGGTCGGCTACATGGGCTGTGTGCAAGGCAAATGCCCTACCTGCTGTGCTGTCGCTCCAGCCCATTACAAGTGTAATACTATGTGAATTCCTAATGGAAGTGTTGGTTTTTTTTTTTTTTTTTTTTTTATCTTCCAGTGCCTTGTTGGTTCTGGTCTGGGCAATGGACGATGGCGTCTGACTGCTTCTGAGTGACACCTGGAGCCAGTGGCTCGCCCTGTGCCCTCCTGCCTGCTGCGAGAGGGTCTGGCATGCCCCCTGCGAGGCCTCTGAGGGGAGCAGCGGGTGCCGATGGCTTCCGAGGCCGTGAGTGGCGTGCGGGCCCGGGCGCAGCCGCCGGCCAAGGGCAGGAGGCAGCCCCCGGCCAAGAGCGCACCCCCCGCGGCCAGCGACGCCGACGATGGGGACGACTCTTTCCTCTTCGAGGCCCACGAGGCCTGGAAGGATTTCCACGGCTCTCTGCTCCGCTTCTACGAGAACGGGGAGCTCTGTGACGTCACCCTGAAGGTGAGACGGCGCTTCCCCCCTCTGGGCCTTGGGTGTCGTGTGAAGAAACGGTGGTCCCCAAAGCAACGAGGGCAGCCTTGTGGTGCTGGGGTGTGTGGCTTCGTGTGTTGTTTGCTTAAGACTTTGTTAAAGCTGGAACCACAGGACATCCCTGAGCACTGACTGGTGAGCCACCCTCCCCCGAAAAAAGGAAAAGAGAAAACCAAATAATAAATTCCATCAATATGCTTCGGAATTGACAGATTATCATCTTTTCTGACCCCTGTGCCCTTTTTTTTTATTCGAAAGGAAGGGGCGTTGGGGGTGTAGGTGAAGGGAGCTTAGCCCGCGGAGTTGGAGTGGGTAGGCTGCCTGTTTATACTAATCGAACGTGCTGCCCGGGGCTGGAGCAGTAGTGCAGTGGGTAGGGCGTCGGCCCTGTCGAGGCAGGCCTGGCTCAGTCCCCGGCACTCCCCGTGCTCCTGTGAGCCGGTCCCATGCCACAGAAACCGGCCCGTAAAACTCAAGGGCGCAGTTCACAGACTTGGCCACGCATTGCTCAGTCCCCGTCCCGAGCATACTGCCGAGCACTGTGACGGGAGTGGAGGGGTGGAGAGAGAGAGGAGGAGAGAGAGACACCTCTGCTGGTCGCAGCCTCAACAGAAGGAAGGGAAGGGGTCAGAAAAAATGATAATTTGGGGCTGGAGCAATAGCACAGCGGTAGGGCATTTGCCTTGCAAGCAGCCGACCTAGGTTCGATTCCCGGCATCATCCCATATGGTCCCCCGAGCACGGCCAAGAGTAATTCCTGAGTGCATGAACCAGGTGTAACTCCTGTGCATCGCCGGGTGTTACCCCCCCCCCAAAAAAAAAGCAAAAAAAAAAATGATAATTTGTCAGTGCTGAAGCATATTGATGGAATTCATGATTTGGTTTTCTCTTTTTTTGGGGGGGGGTTGGCTCACCTGTCAGTGCTCAGGGGTCACTTCCGATGGTGCTCCGGGGGACCCTCTGTAGCGCCAGGGGTCGGACCAGCCTCATGGTGGCGTCCCCGTGGCCCTGTGGTGGTCCCGTCCCTCCAGCCCCCCGCGGTGGCGATGCCCAAAATGCGTCAAGTGGGAGAGGGCCCGAAAACTCCCCTCCTGCTCGCTTGGTCCCGGGGCGCGGCGGGCCCTGACCGGGAGCCCCGCTGACCCCGGCCTCGCCCCCGCCCCGCCCCGCCCGGCCAGGTGGGGCCCAAGCTCATCCCCTGCCACCGGCTGGTGCTGGCCTGCGTCATCCCCTACTTCCGCGCCATGTTCCTGTCGGAGATGGCCGAGGCCCGGCAGGCGCGGGTGGAGATCCGGGACCTGGACGGGGACGCGCTGCAGGACCTGGTGCGCTTCGCCTACGCCTCGCGCCTGCGGCTGACGGTGGACAACGTGCAGCCGCTGCTCTTCGCCGCCTGCATCCTGCAGCTGGAGCCCGTGGCGCGCGCCTGCTGCGGCTTCATGGCCCTGCACCTGCACCCGTCCAACTGCCTGGCCGTGCGCGCCTTCGCCGAGAGCCACCACCGCACCGACCTCATGGCCGCGGCCGACCAGTTCGCCTGCGCGCACTTCCCCGAGGTGGTGGAGTGCGAGGACTTCGCGGGCGTCTCCCCGCAGCACCTGCGCCGGCTGCTGGCCTCCAGCGACCTCAACGTGGCCGACGAGACGCAGGTCTACGCCGCGGCCATCAAGTGGCTCCTGGCCAACCCGCAGCACCACTCCGAGTGGCTGGACGAGACCCTGGCGCAGGTAGGGCTGCGGGGGGCGGGCGGCGGGGGCGGGGAGGACCGGACGGACGGACGCATGGACGCACAGACGGACGCACGCCCCTCCGGGTCCCTGCGCTCCCACGAGGTGCCCAGAGCTCTCCTCCTCCTCCTCCTCCTCCTCCTCCTCCTCCTCTTTCGGTAACAGCCGGCCGGGCACTTGCCTCGCACGCGGCCCACCCGGTTTGGTGTCCCAGGCATCCCCTAGGGTGTCTCCCCCCTCCCCCCCCCCAGCACCGCCAGGAGTGGTCCCCAGGAGTCAACCCTGACCACCGCGGCCAGGTGGACTCAGAACAGAAGCAAGCAAAGCAAACCAGTGATTCATTCAAAGCAGCGCTGACCTTCCGGCTGGCCGTGTCACTGCACACGCGCACCGCACCTGTTACTGGACACTGCAGAGTGCAGTGTCCCCCCACCCCCCACTGGCCCCGAGGCCCTTCTCGACACCCCCGACCTCCCCAAGCCACACACTTGGCAGACTCGGTCCCATAGACAGAATCTCGGGCTTTGTTCTCGTTGTCTGTTCTCTGAAGTTGTTAATTGTGGCCCTTCCCTTAGCACGACATCCTCTGGCTCCGGTGCAGTGGGAGCGAAGGGCGAGATCTCGTCCTTCGCAATAGCGGAGTCATGTTTCATTGTGATATATGCTACAGTATCTTGTTTTGTTTCTCTGTGGATATATGCTACAGTGTCGCCTTGTTTGTTTCTTTGTGAATATATGCTGCAGTGTCTTGTTTTGTTTGCTTGGTTTTGGTTAGGGGATCACACCCAGCAGTGCCCGGGGCTTACTCCTCACTCCCATTCAGGGTCACAGGCCACATGGGATGTAGGGGATTGAACCCAGGTGTCGTCCCCTCCCCTCCCCCGGCAAGGCAAGCACCTTACCCTCTGTACTGTCTCTCCAGCCCAGCCAATGTCTATTTTTTTAATTAATGTTTTTGTGTTCTTGGGATAGATGCCAAGAATGGTATGTCATAGACACATTCTGTTTGGGTGGTTGTTTTTATGAGGTTTTTTGTTGTTGTTTTTGGGGAGCCTGGCAGTGCTCAGGGGTCTCTCCTGGGGGGTGGGGGCTCGGGCACCATATGCGATGCCAGGGACCGCAAGGCCGATGCTTGCCAAGCAACCCCCTGAGCTGCTGTGCGATCGCTGTGGCACTGGGCAGCCTCGTTTCACGGCTGCTCTGTATATGACTGATTGTGGCCCGGCCCTCCCCGAGTCCTTATTTTGTCTCAAGCCACGTCCGGTGATGCTCTGGGACTGCCACTTCGGGGAGGGGCGTGTTCCCAGCAGTGCTCCGGGTGGATCCCCGGCTTTCTGCTGAGGGCCGTGCACTCAGCTGCCTGCCGTCGCGGCTGTTCCTATGTCAGCCGATAACGCTTTCTCGTCGCCCTTTCTGGAATCCTTTCTGGAACTGCAGATGTCCTTGATGTTCTCCCAGAGGTGCTGTTTCCTTCATTTTTCATCGTCCTTCACCCACCTCTCTTTCTTTTCCCTGCTGCCTCCCCTGTGTCCCCTCAGGCGCTCCCCTCCCCGCCGCCAGCCCCTCAGGCGATATCCCACCTCACCTACTGGGTTGTTTTTCAGCTCGGTGATTTCTGATCCATGTTTTCTCATACTCGATTTTTCCTCGTCGTGGTCAAGAATAGTCATATACGTTGACAGAAAATGGTTCTGGAGAAACAACTCCGATGGTTTTTATAGCATTTTGCAATGAAGTTTCTAAGTTTCACTGAATTATCTTGCTAACGAAAGGACATCTCTTCCTGATACATGTAGTGTATTCATAAAGATCTACGCATCACTTTCCATCTCTTTTTCCTTACTATAGTTTTACTTTTATACGCTCGGAAATGTGTCTTTTTCAGTTATTTTGACTGTCCAGGGGTTTCTTGGATAGAAAGTACCAAATTGGACCTTAGAGTTATGTTGAATATAAAGTGGGGTCCAGGAAGACAGCTCCAGTTGGACTGGGCTCCAAGTTCAACCTGGGTCTCAGCGGGACCCCCTCAGCCCCCCGCTCCCCAAGTATAGCCTCTGTAGTTAAAAAAAAAAAAAGGACAGAAAATATAATTTACATGTCTCTGCCCGTGCTTTTGTGTTTCTCTCTGCTGAGGGGCCAGCAGTGCTGGGGGGCCTCTCCCCATGGGGCTCGCTGGGTCGTGCCTGATGTGGTCACAGCCATGGCTCCGTCCCTTGGAGCGTTTACCCGGCCCCTCCCCGTTAGATGAGGATGCTGCGCCCTCCGCATGGTCCAGGCGACAGTCAGGTCCCTGAAGGAGAGAGTGTGTGTGTGTGTGTGTGTGGGGGGGGGTGGATCTTCTCTGACATCGAGGAGTCTTGATGGTCACATTGCTCGTTGGGAAGTAAGGAACTTGAATTAAGACAGTTCTTTGCATTTTTTTTTTCTCTATGTGGCACAGTGCTCCTGGCTCTGTACTCATGGATCCTAACGGGCCCAGGGGGTCCAGGGATTAAACCCAGGTTGGCACCTGCAAGGCCAGTAAGTGCTTTACCCAGAGTTAAGCCAGTTCTTCGATACAGGCCACTATAATCTACATATGAAGGATGTATTTGAGATATGATCTCATTTCATTTCACTGCAGGCTAGAGCGATAGCACAGCAGGTAGGGCGTTCGCCTTGCAAGCGGTCAGCATGGCCGACCCGGGTTCGATTCCTCCGCCCCTCTCGGAGAGCCTGGCAAGCTACCGGGAGTATCTCGCCCGCACGGCAGAGCCCGGCAAGCTCCCCGTGACGTATTCAAGATGCCAGACACAGTAACATTTGTCAGAATGGAGACATTACTGGGCCCGCTTGAGCAAATTGAACAGTGGGAGGACAGTGACAGTGACTGATACTAGAATTTTCTTTCTATATGACTTGGTACATTTCACTCACAAGTCAAACATTAAGAAGTCAATTTTTTGTTTTATTTCTTTGTTTATTTATATATTTATTTTTGGCCACACCCAGGTTTCCTCCTGGCTCTGCATTCAGGGGTCACTCCTGGTGGGCTTGGGAGACCATGTGGGGTCCCGGAGAGCAAACCTGGGTCAGCTACGTGCAAGGAAAATCGCCCTCGCCACTGTGCAGTTTTTTTCTGGCCTCAAGAAATCAATCAGTCTCGGGGACCAGAGAGTCTCACGGGTTGGGCTTAGCGTGCAGCTGGCCCTGGCTTGACCCTCAACGCCCCGTCTGAAGTCCCGAACACAGAACCAGGAGTAAGCCCTGGGCACAGCCAGGGGTGGCCCCAAACCGAACCAAACCACCAGGTAGAGTCGTTCTTCAGAGAACATCCTGCGGGGAAGGTGGAGCTGTAGCTCTCGGACCCGACCTGAGTCCTCTCTGCCTCTGGCCCCGCCGCAGGTCCGTCTGCCGCTGCTGCCGATCGACTACCTCATGGGCGTGGTGGCGAAGGAGCAGATTGTCAAGCAGAACCTGAAGTGTCGAGATCTGCTGGACGAAGCGAGGAATTACCACCTGCACCTGAGCAGCAGGGCGGTGCCCGACTTCGAGTACTCCATCCGGACCACCCCGAGGAAGCAGACGGCGGGTAAGGGCTCTGCTCGGCCCCGGGGCCGGCTCCCTTGGGCCCCGAGGGAGCTGGGCAGTGACGACGGCAGGTGCTCATCCTACTGGTGCCTCATCCCCGGCCTGTCTCTCGCTCTGCGGAGGCTTGTTTTACGGGGACCGCCAGTGACTGTCGGAGCTAGACAGGAAGCGGCATCAGAGGCGTGTGGAGACTTGCTGGGGAAGCCGAGGCTCAGCGCGGCCCCTCACGTACAGACTCAGGAACTGGGGGGGGAGGGGGGGCTGCAGCAGTCTGGCACCCTCTAGATGATCCCGAATGAAAGGGTGGTGTAAATATTGTGGTAGTCGAAATGAACATCTGTACGCACACGCATGTGTGTTGCTGCTGTATACCACAGATAGAATATATGCATGTATATGTATAACTATGTGTGTTTGTATCTGTATCTATATATGCAGTTCTACACACATGATGTCAGGCTTGCCTTTTTGTTTTGTTTTTTTTTTCTGGTGCTCAGGATGGAACCCAGGACCTCAGCGTGCAAGGCAAGTGCTGTACTACTGAGCCACGTTCCTAGCCAAAAAAAAAAAAAAAAATTACCATTTCTAACCGTTTAAAAGTGTTCACTTCAGTGGCATTCACTAAGGTTTTAAGAACTGCTGGCTTTCAAGAGCATTGTGATCAGATTTACTCTGTTGGTGACACAAGAGCCCAAGGATAGGGGCTGGAGAGATAGCACAGTGGGTAGGGCGTTTGCCTTGCACGCGGCCGACCCGGGTTCGAGTCCCAGCATCCCATATGGTCCCCTGAGCACCGCCAGGAGTAACTCCTGAGTGCAGAGCCAGGAGGAACCCCTGTACATCGCCAGGTGTGACCCAAAAAGCAAAAAAAAAAAAAAAGCCCAAAGATAGTGAGCACATGGGGGACAGGACTGCGTGGTGGTCAGCTGGCGCCGGATAGGGCCTGGCCAAGGCACAGACAGTGGGAGGAGGGAGGCGGGAGGACTCCAGGGACGACGCAGGGAGGACTGGCTAGGGAGGAAGGGTGGAAGGGACCTATAGTGTGGTGAGCTCCACTTGGAGGTCATTCTAATACAGATGCTGTTTAAGAATCAGTGAATTGGGGGCCGGAGCCGTAGCACAGGTGGGAGGGCATTTGCCTTGCACGAGGCTGACCTGGGTTCCATCCCCGGCATCCCCTCTGGTCCCCCGAGCACCAACAGGAGTAATTCCTGAGTGCAGAGCCAGGAGGAACCCCTGAACATCGCAGGGTGTGACCTAAAAAAAAAGAAGAAAGAATCAGTGAATTGGATGACGTTTTCTATATGAGCGGTGGAATCGAATTACTGGATAAAACATGGAAAGGATAGGAAAGATACGACTGTAGGAAAAAAGCCTTTTTTGGTATTATAAAAAGCAAGAGTGACCAGGACATCTGATGTGGCTATGTAGTTGCGTCCAGTGAGAAATGCAGTGGTTAGAGGATTCTGTTAGGACCTTACCAAGAGGGGTTTTTACAGTGTGCGTGAGGGCGTGAACTGGGTTATGGGGCATTAGCAAGCAGAGATTGCCAGTGTCTCTTCCTTGAGTCTCACCCGGGGAGCTAGAGAGAGTCTGGCAGGCGGGGCGCTTGTCTTGCACGCGGTGGTCACGCTTGTGGTTTGATCGGTATGGCTCTAGGGTCCCCCAAACCGCACCAGGAGCGACCCCTGAGCACAGAGCCGGGAGTAAGCCCGGAGCATCGCTGGGTGTGGGGGAGCCCCTCCACCCCCGCTGAGAAAATAAAGCTGAAGAAAAATGAATTTTTTTCACGTGAATTCACATGAATTTTCACATGGATTTTTTTTAATGACAGGGAGGAAAATATCATAACCTCACGACATTGAATGGTACCCAGACACCTGGGCTTTTGTTGCTGTTAATCAGACTATCGATTTCTCAGGCACTTTTAAATTCTGGTTTCCAGAACTAGGAGGCGTCCTGCCAATCTCTGCCTGTGGCTTTCCCCGTAGGTGTGCTGTTCTGTGTCGGTGGCCGAGGGGGCGCTGGCGACCCCTTCCGCAGCATTGAGTGTTACTCCATCAACAGGGACAGCTGGTTCTTCGGGCCGGAAATGAACAGCCGAAGGCGCCACGTGGGAGTCATCTCTGTGGAAGGTGAGTGTCTCCGTCCTCAGGACGCTCACGGGCGCCCAGAGCTCTTCCAGAGCCTGATCTCCGAGCATTTTTGTGATAAAGTCGGTCGATTTTATTTTCACTGTCTCAGGAAAAATACACTGGGAGAGTGCCAACTTCCTGCCTTGTTGGGCACCGTCCTTCTGCTTGTAGGCACCTAACAGGTGATGCATATGGGGCAAGGCGCTCAGACTTGAGCTGAAAGAATCTGTTCTCCAGGTATTTGCAGAAGAGTCACACTAAAGAAAAACGTTTATTGAACTCGAATGAGTATCAGCTCTTTTCTTGTCATACAGTTCTTAATGAAATGAAGGAAGGTTTTGTTTTTGTTTTTGTTTTTGTTTTCCAATGGGTCCTAAAAACTAATTTGTTTTGTCTTGTCTTTTTTTGGTGTCGGAATTATAGCCACGACCTCAAACAGGCATGCATAGCATGCACTCCACCACCGAGCTGTGTTCCAGGTGAAAGAGACTTTTAGAGGATTTTCTCCCCTCCCCTCCTTGGTTTGGGGGCCACACCCGCAGTGCTCAAGGTCCACTCCTGGCTCTGTGCTCAGGGCTCACTCCTAACGGGGCCCCTCTGTGGTGCCGGGGGTTGAACTCAAGCCAGCCATGTGCAAGGCCCATGCCCGAACCCTAAACCATCTCTCTGGCCTCACTTTCCCCCGCTTATTCTTCGAGTAGAAGTGCTCTTTTGGGAAGCATGAGAGCATTGTTTTATTCGTTCTTCGGGGGCGGCCCCAGTGGTGGTCAGGGGCCTGGTCCCTCCCAGAGGTGGTGGCCCGGTTGGCCCTGCTGGCTCTGTCTCAGCCTGGCAGTGGGGGGTGGCCAGGCCCCACCTGTGGAGCTGGGCAGGGCCAGGGCCAAGCCCAGGCTCTGGGCCTTGGGTAACCCCCCGACTTACTGTGGCCCCGTCGGCACGGAAAGGCCGCTTGGACCCACCCCCCAGAGTCAGCGGTGCCTGAGAGTGTGGTGTGGGCTCATTCAAGTTTGTCTCTGTGTATTTTTCGTTTAGGAAAGGATCGGTCGTGCTCTCTAGTCTTGTGTTTTCTTTACATCCCACATTCATTCAGAGCTTTTTTTTTTTCCTTCCCATTTTATTCAACATTCTTTGAAAACTTGATTAGTCAAAGTGACTTTATTTACTGATTACTAAAACACTGGGAAAGCTAGGGAAGGTTCACTGTTGGCACATTCATGACTGCATATAAAACAGGGTGCAGACTCTTGACGCAGTGGGGGTGTGCATTCATTATCGCTTGTCAGACTGACATTGTCCATAGTGTCGAAGAGAAAAATAGTCATTGAAAAATGACAGTTTAGGTGCTTGCAGTAAACGGAACGCCTCTCGGCCTGGCAGGTAAAGTGTACGCCGTGGGCGGCCACGACGGGAACGAGCACTTGGGCAGCATGGAGGTGTTCGACCCGCTCACCAACAAGTGGATGATGAAGGCCTCGATGAACACAAAGAGGTGCGGGGGCGTGGGCGTCGCCTTTGACGCGCTGGGGGGACGTCAGGCTTGCTGAGTTGGAAAGGGAAGATCCTGTGCTCTGCAGACGACCCGAACACAGTTTGTTCCCGCACTGGGCGTGTTCCCTTAACAGCGCGTCCTGTTTTCTTGCGAATCGGAGTCACGAATGATGTGCGGACAGTAGCAAATTCGACACCTTCTGTTTAAACCCGAGCATTGATTTGAGGGAGGAGGGGGGCTCTCCAAGCAGTGCTCAGGGCCCAGTTGGCTCCAGCCGGTGATACTCGGCCCCCCAAAAATGGGCTGCTCACGGTTGGTGGTGTTGGGGACCAGCAGGGCCCCCAGCAGTGCTCGGTGCCTCGCACGGCCGCGGTACGAGGGGCCTGTGGGGCTGGGACCGAGCCTGGGCTTGCAGCCGGCACCGGCCTGCCCGACCCCTCGGCCGTCTCCCAGCCCCCGAGCACTGATTTGGGGGAAGGTTTAGGCCAACCCAGTGGTGCTGTGTTGGGGTTGCTCCTGGCTGTGCTTGGGGTTGAAACGGAGCATCTCCCTGCAAGACACGCCCCAGACGCCCGTGCTCTCTCCCGCCCGAGGGAGCCCACATGGATTTGTGTTCTAAAAAATTTTCTTGATTTTAATTTTGTTTTTTTTTTCCCCCCAACAATTGCAAAAAAAAAAAAACAAAACAAAACAGAGCTCCTGTCTCTCAGTAGAGGTTTAGCGGAACTATTTCTACTCCCTCTGTGGAGCCCAGGGTGTGTGTGCTTGTCCCAGCTTCTGGGTGCACCGCCAGGCCCCCTTGCGGAGTTGGGGCAGGCCAAGGATACGGCCGGGGGTCCCGTGGCCCGGAGCTCCGTGTGCCGAGATGGACACTGTCTGTCCCCGACGTCACTCGCCTGGCTCCGGCGGCCAGGGCCACATTCTCGAGGAGTGGAGACGGCGCAGTAATGGGGGAGGGGGCTGAGGTTTCACTTGGGGGTCCCTTTCGTGATGCCTCTGTGCCCTGCCGCCCGCAGGCGTGGGATCGCCCTGGCGACCCTGGGGGGCCCCATCTACGCCATCGGGGGCCTGGACGACAACACCTGCTTCAGCGACGTGGAGCGCTACGACATCGAGTCGGACCAGTGGAGCGCGGTGGCGCCCATGAACGCCCCCCGGGGTGGGGTCGGCTCCGCGGCCCTGGCGGTAAGTCGGCCGGACCCCCTGCCCCTCCCCCCATCGGTGCTTCCCGCCTGCCCCCCGCCCCCTTCTCGGCCAGTGCATTGACCCCCACGCTCTGCTCTCTCGGCGTCCAGAGCCACGTCTACGCGGTGGGCGGCAATGACGGGGTGGCCTCGCTCTCCAGCGTGGAGCGCTACGACCCGCACCTGGACAAGTGGACCGAGGTCAAGGCCATGGGGCAGCGCAGGGCAGGCAACGGCGTCAGCGAGCTGCACGGCTGCTTGTATGTGGTCGGTGAGTGGGGGCGAGGCAGTGCCGCGACCCAGAGCAGCACACCGGGACAGGTCAGAGTGCAGAGAGGCCCCGGACTCGCGGCTGCCCGTGCTTAGTAGGGCTCTTCCTGGTGGCCGTAGCCAGTGGCACCGGGCAGGGGTGGGACGGGGCGGGGCGGGGCAGAAGCCTGGACTCTGGCCTGGCGCGGCAGCACTGGAGAAAGAGTCAGCCCTGAGCTGGGCGCGGTGGTTTCCGTTTTCCCCATTTTGGGGGCCACACCTGGCGCTGCTCGGGGGCACCAAATCCCGGTCGGCTCTGTGGGGCAGGTGCCCTCCCCGCTGTGCTGTCCCTCTGGCCTGTCGGAGTTGGTTTTAAGTGGAGTCCACGCCGCGTCAGCCAGTTTAGCCGGAGGTCGAATAAACAGCGGTAGCACTGTGGCACTGTCCTCCCGTTGTTCATCAGTTTGCTCGAGCGGGCACCGGTAACGTCTCCATTGTGAGACTTGTTACTGCATTTGGCATATCGAATAAGCCGCGGGGGGCTTGCCAGGCTCTGCCGGGCGGGCTTCTCGGCCTTTTGACTAAGATCAAGTGTAAGCAGCAGCACTCCTGCTTAAAAGAAGATGTTTTTGGAAAGTGGGGTGTAGACAGCGGACATTCTGCGCCAGTGAGACTGGGCACAACTCCTCTCTTTTATTTGATGACCGCCTCCCCTTCCTTTCTTTTTCTTTTCTCTTTTCCTTCCTCTTCTTTCTGTTGTTGTTTTGACTTTAGGGCCACAGCCAGCTGGGCTCAGGGCTTACTCCCAGCTCTGCACTCCGGGGTCACTCCTGGTGGTGCTCAGGGGCCCGTATGGGGTCCCAGGAATCGAGCCCGGCAGAGACACGTGCAGGGACTTGCCCTCCTCGCTGCACTGTCTCTCAGCCCCACTGCGGCACGTTTGCCCTCCGAGAAGCTCATGTTCTCTTGGGAGACGTTTTCCACGTCTCCCGTTGCCCCCGGTTCCCTGGTGACCCCCGTGACAGACCCCGGTGACAGTCTCCTCCAGCAGGAGGGTGTGGGCGGCCCCTGTGGAGGGTGTCGGCCGCCCAACCCCGTGCCCCTCCCTCTCTCCCAGGCGGGTTCGACGACAACTCTCCGCTGAGCTCTGTGGAGCGCTACGACCCTCGGACCAACAAGTGGGACCAAGTGGCCGCGCTCACCACGCCCCGGGGCGGCGTGGGCATCGCCACCGTCATGGGCAGGATCTTCGCCGTGGGTGGCCACAACGGCAACTCCTACCTGAACACGGTGGAGGCCTTTGACCCCGGGCTCAACAGGTGAGCCTCTGCCTTCCCATCCTACGGCAGGGGACAGTCCACGCTTAGGGCATGCTTAGAACATGCTTGGGGCATGCCTAGAACATGCTTAGGGCACGCTTAGAACATGCTTGGAGCATGCTTAGGGCATACTTGGAACATGCTTGGGGCACACTTAGAACATGTTTGGGGCACGCTTAGAACGCGCTTGGAGCATGCTTGGGGCATGCTTAGAACATGCTTAGGGCACACTTAGAACATGCTTGGAGCATGCTTAGAGCATGCTTAGGGCACGCTTAGAACATGCTTGGAGCACACTCAGAGCACACTCAGTGCACACTCAGGGCCCACTCAGAGCACCCTCAGCTCACACTCAGCACATACTCATAGCACGCTTAGTGCACACTTAGCATGCAACAACTGGCCAGCTTTCCCCCCGGTACCCCGTCTGGTCCCCAAGCTGCTCCAGCAGTGACTCCTGAGCACAGAGCCAGGGGTAAGCCCTGGCAGGGGTGAGCACCACCAGGTGTGGCCCCCAAAGAAACCCCCCAGGGACCCCAAAAGAGATAAAGATAAGTTGCTGCTCTCGGGGAATTGTCTCCATTTCCAGACCCGCCTCCTTTGGGGCAACTCTGAGTCCGCACTGTCCCCCACAGGTGGGAGCTCGTCGGGTCCGTGTCTCACTGCCGGGCCGGGGCAGGCGTGGCCGTGTGCGCCTGCCTCACCAGCCAGATCCGCGACGTCGGCCACGGAGCCAGTAACGTGGTAGACTGCATGTGATGGGGCTCAGGCCGGACATGGGGCCGGATGGCGGTGACGACCCGGACGCAGGGTGAATGGGCACCAGGGTCTCGCTTCAATAGGAGACGTCGTGTCGTGGCAACCGGCACCCTCTGGAGCGGAGCTGGAGAGAGAGACGCAGGATCGAGTCAGACTTGGCACTTTCCACGTAGCAGGTATTGGAGCAGGGAAGGAAGGAAGCGTGCGTAGTCTGAAGCTGCCCCTTCTCTGGAAGGTGTATAAAGTAGCCCTGAGGCCTTGGGATCTCTTTAAAACAAAGTTGTTTTTTTTTTTCTTTCTAAATAAATCAAAATATAAAGCGAAGTCACTCGCCTAGTTACCTTCTCTTTTACCCAAAGGGTAGGCTTTAGGCAGTGCGTTTATGGAGAGGCGAGATTCCAATCGTTCATCCATGCAGGGCAGGACACTTTTGTTTTTTTGGTGCTGATGCATTTATGCCCTCTTCCCGTGATGTTGGTCTTCGGACTTCGTGGGGAATGTACAGAAGGAGGAAAAGCTGGTCTGTCTCGGCTGCGTTTTCCCAAGTCTGTAGGAGGCTGCGTGAAACTCCTCAGAGATCCTGCTGAACTAAACTCAGCCCGGTGAATCTGCTTTCATTTCTCGTCTCGTGAAAAATGGGTATGTTTCACACCAGCGAATTGGAGCCAGGAAAAGCGGTCAAGGAGAAAGCTCGGAGCTGCTGCTCTCGTGCCGAGACCCTCGGGCGTCCCACCGAGGCCGGACACGCCTGCCTCCGCTCTCCTGTGTGCTGCCAGCCTTATTTTTTATTCAGCTGTGTAGAATCTGAATTTAGGAGCAGAAAATGAATACCGCTTTATAAAAAATCCCTTTCTCGACCATAGTTGCTGATTGCTTCGAGTCCCTTGCTCCCAATAAAAGGTCGCGTTGATGAAACCAGGAGGACCGAAACCAGCACCTCCCGTCACCTGGGTCCCCTCCGTGTCCTTCCCTGGCGGACAGGGAGATGCCCAGGGCTAGCTGTTCCCTGAGCACTGAACAGCAAGTGTGCCTCAGAAAGGGGAGGGCGGATTTTTCTAGTAATTGCAAGCCAGGCTATTGACAAGGCTCTTGATACGGCTGTGCGTTCAGTAGCTTGTTAGGGTGTTGACCGGTATTACAAAATGGACTGCTCATTTTTGCATATACTTTATAGCTCTTTATGAAGAATAAAAAAGTCTGCTCCCTTGTATTTGCGGTGCATTTGGTACCTTCCAGTTCTCCCCACGGTTCGCTTTGGCGTGTCGTAGGACTCGGCCTGGTTTCCCGCTGGAGGTGGTCTGGTGAGGAGTGTGCCCCCCAGCCCCCTGCAGGGCCAGCGGCTGCGCACAGCAGGGTGTAAAGGCAGAGGGTGGGCACCGTGCCTGCTGGGCGGATGGAGCAGAGACGAGAATGGGGAACTGAGAGCCAGAAGGAAGGGAGGGTTTTCGTGAGGCAGGTGTGACACGTGACACTCTCCCCTAGGCTCCCCTCAGTTCTCTCGGTCAGCGTCCACCACCATGTGCTTCTTCCCCCCGTGAAACTGTATTTTAGTCAGTTCTCGGAATACGGCGCCATGGGCTGGGCGTGGAGGCGGGTCTCTGCCCTTTGACGCTGCCGTGTCTGCAGGCGCTGGATTCAAATCCTTGGCAGGCCCTGGTGAGTGAGTGTTTTCCATATTTTTGTGAGAGTTTAGAGTTTGATCTTGTTTTAGAACTTTCACAATGAATGATTTCTGCTAGGGGATCCCCCAAGGGGAGAGAGAACAGAAGGAGAATCAGAGGAGCCCAGAGATGAGGTTGGAATGAACGACAATCGATACCAAAAATAAATAAATAATTTCTGCTGTTGTACGTGTGCAGGATTCCAAGCATAGAATTCTTCTGTTTCCATTTTTGATTTTCACTGGGAAGCTGCTGTCTGGCCCAGTGAGTGGGGCCTGCACGGTGAGCCATGTGGCATCCAGGCTGGTTGCACGGCGTGGGGGCCCACGGGAGCACCGCCCTCAGCAGCCTCGGGAAAGGTCGGAAAGGACAGGTGGAACCAGTATGCACGGTCACTCGATGCAGTGAGACCCGGACTGGAGAAGTCGTGCATTGGGAAGAGGAATATATTCCTCGGAACAAGGAGACATCACAGAAAATGGCTGTGTGACTCGAAGACACGTCCTTCTCATTTCAGATGTTCGCGTCTACCAAATAAGAGCTTCTACCAAAAACGGATGAATCACCCTAAAAATCTGAAATCGTTAAATGTGGGAAAAAGAAAAAAGAATTGTCTTTAAAAACTTGTTCAGGTGCTTTTCTTTATCTTTCCCCTATAATCATTAAAGATGCTGCTTTATTATAGTGCACTTGCGCTTTAAAGACTAATTACTTGATGTTCGTTCTGCGACTAATTGTACTATGCTCTGTAACTCACTGGGTATTTTTCCAGATGTCTGAGGAAGCTGTGTACTCCTTCTAGGGAGTATTACTCATTCTCTTGATTCTCAAGTGAGATCACCTGGCAAGAGATTGTTGAAATAGTATAAACTCTTCCAAGCAATAAACCTCACCATTTTCTCTATTCCTTTTCCTCATGTTTTACATGATGCAAAAATGCATGGAGAGTCAAAGTCATGTCTTACCTGTTAAAAATGTCATCCTGCCAAAGGCCAGACTTAAGCAGCCCTGTCCTCTTTCTGGACTCACTGTACTGCCTCCCCCAGTTTTGAATAGGAAGTTTTGCAGTGAGGTTTGTGCAGTTTTGGCTCTCATACGACTGCTTTTTATAATCATAATAAAAATTGTGTATCCTCCGTCCTCCTAAAATAAAATCGAGGGGCCAGAGCAGTTGTACCGCGTGGAGGGTGTTTGTTTGCCTTGCACACAGCCGACCTGGGGTCGGTCCCGGCATCCCATACGGTCCCCCGAGCACCGCCAGGAGTAATTCCTGAGTGCAGAGCCAGGAGGAACCCCTGAGCATCGCCGGGTGTGACCCAAAAAGAAAAAAATATATATATTCATGAACGTCTAGCTCTTAAAAATACCACAAGCTTTTCTTTGTCTCTTGAGTTTAGAAGTGTACCTTTTTGTTGTTTTTGTCTGGGGGGCCACACTCCATCCACCACTCTGGCCGGTGCTCAGAACTTGCTGAGGGCCCTATGGGGTGCTGGGAATATAACCTAGGTTGACTGTGTACAAGGCAAAGCTGTGTGTGTGTGTGTGTGTTGGGAATCTAAGCTGGGTTGACTGTAAGGCAAACCTGTGTGTGTGTGTGTGTGTGTGTGTGTGTGTGTGTGTGTGTGTGTTTTGGGAGTCTAACCTGGTTGACTGTAAGGCAAAGCTGTGTGTGTGTGTGTGTGTGTGTGTGTGTGTGTGTGTGTGCTCACGCCACACTGATGATACTGAGTCGTTCCTGCTTCTGTAGTCAGGATTACACCAGTGGAGGAGGCTCGGGGGACTCTACGGGATGCTGGGATCAGGCCTTGCGTGCAAGGCAAGTGTCCTTCCCGTGCACTCCAGGCCGAGGGGGGACATTTTCCTCTTAGTGCTTAATTCTTTTTCCATTCTTTGCTCACTTTATACATTTTATATCCTGTGGCTGATAATTCCCAGGCCCTGGTGACCCAAATCCTGTCCACCAGCATGTTCACTGCAGGTCTGACCCTTCTCCTTTACTGGGTGGGGTTCTTCTGTCGCTGGTCCCCCTGGGAACCGGGAGCCGCAGCCCAGCATGTTCCAAGACTTACACTTGCTGGTCTGGCTCAGGAAACTCAACCTGGGGACACTCTTGCGCTCCGTGGCCTGGTTCGTCCACAGCCAGCTGCTGCCACACCAGTACCGGCCTCGTGCGCCCAGGTTCTGTTCACTGCACTCGGTGCCTGCTGTCTGGAGAACCACGAGAGCATCATAGCTGTTTGTAGGAGGCAGGGAGAGCACTTCATGGGCCCGAGTGTGATCACACACACACACACACACACACACACACACACACACACACGTACAGAAACACACACAAAAGTCATGGCTCTGGCCCTGAAAAGACAAGGCATAGTCTTAAATGAAACCGTTGTTTTGGGGAAGCCCAGCAGATGACGTAACCTTTTGAATCACCCACAAGCAGAAAATCGCCTCTTGCCATCTAGAGCCGAAGAAGAGCTTAATTCCGTGTTGGCACTCACCTCACCCTGCGGTCTCGGGGTCCTTTTGTGCGTGACTGGATGACTTAGCACGGTGAGCCTGTCCCGTGATCTCACACGAGTGTCTCTAGCGCCTCCAGGGGAGAAGTTCTTGCAGCTCCGTGCCAGGCCGAGGCCACTGGCTTGTTGTGTGCCGGTGCCGTGTCTCTCCACTCGGGGGGCCCAGCGCCTCCCCAGTTCCCGGGAACCCCGGTGGTGGCAGGCATCCCTTCATCACGTGACTCCGAGGTACTGAAGCAGATTCAGACCGCTGCGTTCCTCCAAAAACCATTTGTGCTTTGGCCATCGGCCAAAAGTAATAAAAATCCTGAATGAGTCGTAAACGTCCTGATCCTCCTGCCCCGGGCAGACCCAGCGAGGATTCACAGCGGCTGTTGGCGCTCGCTTGGCTCCCTGCCCAGCCAGCCGCCTCCCCTCCGCAGCTTAATTCACAGAAGCGCACACACATGTGCACACACACACACACACACACACACACACGTTTCACAACGGAGGGGGTTTAGGGAACGTGTGGGCAGCATCACCACCTTCTACACTCAGGCCTTTTCCAGGGTCACCTGCCCCCTGGTTCTCACGAGCCCTCCGTGCAGTCGTCGGCTCATCCTACCTGCTCTGCGTCTGTACAGCTGCCTTTTCCGGGCGTGGGGCATATGCGCAGAGCCCGATGCCACTCATGCCTCCACCTCCCCTCGGCTTGTGCAGGGCCAGGATGCCAGCTACCCGCAGGGGTCTGTTTACCTGCATTAATTACCCGGACTGTGTCTGCTTCTGGCGGCCCCGCAGGACCCACCGGGCGCGCGCCTTGCACGCCAGACCCCTCTGGCCTCCCGGCAGGAGTGATGGCCGGGAAGGACTAAGTCACGGACACCCCGGGGTGTGGCCCGATCACTCCCCACAAAGGAAACAAAAAGGACAAACTTGGAGTGGCCCTGGGTGAGGTTTCTGGCTTTCTCTTCATCTGCTCCAAGTCTGTGCCCCCATCTGAAGGCGGCTGCTGCCCCCTGGTGGCGTATCCACGGTCGCTCGGAAAGGCGCGACCCAGATGCGTCTCGGGCCCACGACCGGCACCAGGCTCTTTGCACTGACAGCAACACA